ATGTATCCTGAATACAGAAGGTTCTTCTCCACCTCCTCTATTGTCCATTTATCATCCAGGATCAGTAAGTGATACCAACCTTAGTTTCTGTTTTTAATGCAACCCATGGTTCTAAACTTTTATTTCAGTTTTATATTCTTTTAGTTCTATTTAGTCATTGCAGATACTTCAAGAGAAGCCATACTTGCAGAAGTAAACTGTAATAACAAAATTTCATGTGCCCATAAAGAGGGCTTTAATACTGAAGTGCATCACAAGCCAGAGATGCACAGATGCTTGTCAGAGAACCACCACAGCACTGGGTAGCCTTTTCTCTGATAGAAAAGGTCTCAGAGATCAAAACTGTACCTCAATCTCCTTTTAAATGGGATGTGGCATGGTTTTACATGCACACATGCAAATGTTGCTTGTTTGATTCACACAGGAGGGTTGGTTTATTTGGTATAATTAGAACTAATCTAGTTAGTTTGTAGGACATATGCAATGGGAATGTTTCATGTGACTTGCAAAGATAAGGCTCTCTTCTCTTGAAGAACAGAAGCCTTCCTTGATGTTGACCAGAATGCATTTAGTTTGCTAAGAGCACACTGCCACAACAAAATAGAAATTCAGGTGGAACAGGATATAATTGCTGCAGGTATTTTAAAACCACCAGATTGCATTTCTGATGACTAACATGCAATTAGCACCGTAACAGACCTGCTTGCTGGAAGGGGAAAGGCATAAAACTTGTTTCTTACATCCCTCATGTACATGGTAAGAACAAATCTCACTGGCTGTGGAAGAAAGACAAAGCAATCCATGTACCTGAACAAAAATGTGCATCAGCCTACTGACATTTAAATCTTGTTCTTCTTGCTCTTCTTCCTTCCATTTTAAGATCTGGTTTTGGTTTTTTTGCAAGAGAGTAAGTCCCACCAAGGAACCTGTTGCATGATACTGAAAATTCACAAGGGTGTTGGAGATTAAATAAGAATATTGCCTAAGGCTGAGCTGCTAAGAACAACTGTGGTTTTTTACTTAGCTATTCTTAACAGGGGAACCAGGCAATTGCAAGTGAGAGTTTCAAGTCAAGTGTAAGTTTCAAGACCAAGAGGCATATTCACTCCCAGGGTGAGAGAGTTAATCTGCCTCTTTAAACTCAGTGGAGAGAGGTTCCCTCTTTATGGCCAGCACCCTGAATCATTCCCAGGACAGGTGGCAGACACATAGAGCTCCCTGCCCCAAATGCTCAGTGTTGCAATCCTGTCACTCTCTGTGAAAGTATTGGTGTATTGTGGTTCAAAGGGAACTGATCAAATCTACTTGTGCTGACTGCTGCATCCCTGAGGATATGTGCTGTTAGTCCTGACAAGCAGGGACTTGGTTCTCATTTTTTAGTTGGCTTGGCCAGATCTTAACAGAGGTGTAGAACAGGACTTTTCCAGGTGGGAAACTTCCTGTCTAAGACAAGTCTGTGAAAGTAGCACAATATTCTGGTTACTAGAAAAGTCCTGTTTCCTCCCTGCTGAGAGGGTACCCTCTCAAAAAGACAGTCATTGCATGTCGCAGCCTCTGCTTTCACCAAGCAGTAAATATTCACCTCTCAAGTTCTCTCCTGAATTCTCATTTCCAGTGGCTTTGCTTGCACTCTGAATCTCCTTCTACTCGTCTTGCAGCTCTCTGGCAGTTTCAGGCTCAGAACTAAGCACAGCATCACTGTAGCTATAGGAGATTCCTACAGCTCAAACCACGTTTTCCTGATCTGAACCAGCATGGCCTCAGATCTCAGTTACTGTCAGCACCTTTCTACTCCACAGCTGGCTCCCACTCTCTGATCACTAGTAGTCCAGACTTTTCCTTCAGCTTACATTAGGCTTATATTGGCTCAAATATAATTAGACACCCACTAAAACTGATATAATTTTAGACAAATTGTCTAAATAGAATTTGTGGCTTTTTTTCCTCCACTGTTGCTCAGGTAAATCTCTCTCTATCCTACATTAGGACATGGGCGGTGAACTAGGAACAAAAGCATTCACTCATTGATGTTTCTGATTAGTCACTAAGCCTAATCACGGTCACATAAACCTCTGAAACCTCCTAAATGCTTGTATCAAATGCCTTACTAAAAGCCAGTTGATCTGTCTGTATAATCTCCTCAAATTATTTGTAACTGTCAACAAATTAAGTACCTTTGCTCACTGAGGTATGTTTTTTCCTCAGTCTGCTAGCAAATCCCTGGTGTTCTGCCTCTTATCTGAGTGATATCACTGACCAAAACTGTGGTAAGTCCATTATCTGATTTCCTTACTGACCCATACAGCAAATTATCTGGACTCCCACTATGCTGCAGTAAGCTCACATTTCACAAATATTTTCTTACTTGTTTCCATCAGTTACTGCATGACATCCTTATTGATTTTTAACCATCCCTCATTTTGAGTACTTTTTAAATAGATTTCCACCATTTCAGTCTTATCAATCTCAATTCAGTGTTCCTGTATTAATAGGCTTTTCATATTCCTTTCCCTCCCCAGGCACATTTATGAAAGCTCTTCTTCCCTCAGCCTTCTGGTCGTTGTTAATTTATTGTTGTGGATGCCCTTAGCTTGTTCTCTGAGCCTTAAATCCAGCCAGCTGATCATTTGCAGTGCATCTTCCCTCATTCACTGTAAGGCTACCGTGCCACTTGCTGCTGCACATTGTGAAACTACAGAGCATGGGGCTACTGTGATGTTTCATTTTTAAGACCTAATTGTAATGCTTTCTGAGGCTCACAGGTTTTTTTCTTTTCCTTCTTAGATGCTAAATCACATTTTGAAATCTGCCAATGCTGCTAGTATATGAGGAAAAAGGGCACAGAAAATTCCATTTGTTAGATGCTGGGCTGCTTCCCCAGCTGGGCAGCAGAAGAGTTTTTCTCCTGTATACAGCCAGCCTCAAATGCTGCTGTCTGGGGATTAATCCAGGGTATCTTGAAAACCAAAAATTCATTCTTCAAATTAGTTGTTTGCACCACACTGCAGGAATTTCAGTGACTCATAAATCCTGTTATTTCAAAGTAAGGGAAGTACTTGAAAATATCACACAGAGCTTGAATGTTCCAGCCTATTTCACAGACCAAGATTTTCAGCTAATCAGGGGACATTACACATCTTCGCTTGGACACTCACCTCATGTTTCCTGTTCTAAATCAAAATACAGTAAGTGACATCTGTGAGTTTTCTGCCACTCTATATATGTTTTATATGCCAGACTGCAATATTATGACTTTCTGGGGAGCAGCCATGTACCAAACAAACAAAAAAAAAAAAAAGTTGCAAAAAGGAGAAGTTAAAAAAAATAAAAGAATTGTATCTAATAGAAGGTATTATTTAGCCTCCTTTGTGCTTGCAATCAACTTTGATATAAAGTATACCAAAAGCAGAAAAGGATGAACAGGGGAAAAAAAAAAAAAGAAACAGAGCAAATATTGGGATAGATTTCCTTGGTCTAATAAATTGTTGCCTATTTTCTGCAGTTTAGTGAGCCCCCTAGAGTAATATTATTCCCTTCTCTTCCATCCTATCCTTATCCCTACTTCTGCACCCAGCTTGCCCTTGCCAGGTAAGTCACATCACACTGCTCCCTGCCATCATTTCAGAAGCCCATTTGTGTAAACACCAAATCCTAGTACCTCTGTAACAGTAATTTAAAAACAAAAATTTAAGGGTGAGGAAATTATTTTCAAAACCACATTTGATCAAACTTTTTTATTTTTTGTCATCAGACTTAGGAATACCTCATTTAATCTTTGTTTATTAATGGCAATGTGATCCAACACTTAAAAAATCCCTTCTTCCACTAAGTATCCATGTGTTAGAAGGATGCTTGAGAAAATCAAGCCAATATTGTCTGGTTGTGTGCAGGAGAATATCCAGATTTTTATAGCCTTACAATGTTTTTTTTAAAGCAAAATACTTCCATTTAAAACAGCACATGCTCACCTTTAATCCTGGGAAGCTCCTAGAGCATTTTAGCAGCAACAGGCTGCTGAGATATGTACCACCTGCAATTTCTGCCACATCTGCACTGAGCACTCACACGGAGGAACCTGGATCTCCATGAAGGCTGCTGAGTGTCCACCCCCAGCCTACCATTCCAGATGCTGTTCCAGTCATTCCCACTCTTTTAGCAAGCCAGTCTCTGATGGACCTGTGGTTGGACACATGACACAGGTGAAGTTTTATGTATGACCATGAGGTCCAGACTGAGAACTGAAATGTTATCTGCAAGTGTTAAAGAAGCCACTGATTTAGTTATGTGTATCCCGAAGTAAACTTCTGCTTTCCTCTTGAAGATGAGGTGTGGCAGTTATAGACTACTAAGGGGAGGGCCTGGTCAAGAGCCAATGTTCTCCTTCCCTGAGTCCAGATATCCTCTGGAAGACTCCTGACTCCTGCTGTAGAGCATCTTGGCAGCAAAGCTGATCCCTTAACACCACGACTTCAGGAGAGGCAGCGTTAGTATATGCACCCATCAAGTTTTCAGAACCTGACAACAAAGTGCCATCATTAACAGAAAGGCGTTTTGCTATTGCTTGCAAAGTTTCACCTAAGAGGCACCAAAATAACAACCCACAAGCTCCTTATGCAGGATGAATGCTTTCAGGGCTGTATGACATTCCTGCAGCCTTGGTGACCTCAGGTGAAACTACAAAAAACAGCCCACACAGGAGCCATCCCTCTCTCTCGACACACAGTCCTCCAACAGTGCACAAACCTTTGAAGAGGCACAAGAAAAGGCTGTCCAACAAAAAGCACTTCCACTGCATTTCTAGGGTTCCATTCACAGCAGGCTGTGAATACTTGACTGAAGCACTCTTTCTTTTGATGCAACCTTTTTATAAACAGTGTTTCAGCAAAATTTCACAGGACAACAAATATAAGCAAATGTTCCATTTTATTTTCAACAGTTCATTTCTCAGATGTAAAAAGTCAGTCCCAAAATAAGCAAGAAATTATAAAATACAACGTCCACATGTTTATACTTGTAATTTTATTCTTCCACGAGACTTGAGAGATTAAATAAAAGTTAAAAGTAGCATTTTCTTTCATTTCAAAACATGTTACTTCTGAATAAACTTAAAAGGTCGAAAGCATTTAAAAGTTCTAATGGTGGTGGCTTAATAGGAATCTTTCCAATTGTGAACTCCTTTGCTTCAAACTGCTGCCACTCTTCAGCTGACAGTTCGCTCTTGGGTGTGAATAACTTCTCTGAGGCAGGGCTGGAGTTGGTGGCTGCAGCAGACGCTGAGGTGACAGGATGGCCAGAGGCACTGGCGCTCTGTCCAAATAAAGCACCGCTCGAAGGAGAGCCACAAGTGGCTCCGCTGGCACCAAAGGCTCCAAAGGCTGCTGGAGTGGTGCTTGCAGAGTTCACAGCAGAAGCACTGCCAAAGCCTGAGAAGCCAGAAGTCCCAAAGCCACCAGCCGGGGCAGCTGCTTTAAAGGAGAAGGAGGCTGCGGAGGGAGCGGCCGGGCTGCCAAAGCCAACGGACTGGGCTGCGCTAGGAGAGGATGCTGTCCCAAATGCAGGAGGATTTGCAGCAGCAGAAGAGCTCCCAGCAGCAGGGCTGCTCCCAGATGATGTTGAACTGACGAGGCTGGAACTGGCTTTAAAGGAGAAACTGCTGGCACTGGTACTGCTGCTGCTGCTCACTGGAAAGCCTGCAAGTAGGGAATTGACAAAAAATAGTTGAACTTGTATCCCCGGGATACTAAACCACTGCTGTATTTCAAAGATGCAGCAGCAAACTACAGAAAATGTGTAAAAGTTTTGGCTCTTAAAACAGGAACTTACTTGACAGCCCAAAGCCTGAGGTTTGCTGTCCTCCCATTCCAAAGGCAGGTGCTGCTTGAGAGCCTGTGGTCTTGAAAGCAGAGAGCTGAAAAGATTCCAGAGACATACATGAAAACTAGATTCCAGACCAGGGAACTCTCTCTCAGTAACTAGTTGAAACAAAACCAGAGCTGCCCAGTCCTACTGAACCCAACTCAGGCCATGCTGGACAGTGATCACTCCTCACAACTGCCTGTCCTTGCAGTGCTTTACGTGCTCTAAGGCCATACATGCTCTTCTCTGTCAAACCCTCCAGAAATGCAAATCTGTAACAACTGATCGATTTTTGGCTGTCAGAGAATTATCTGATGCCCTCTGGGAGCTCTCATTCTCACCTCTCACTGTTCCAGGTTGTGCTCCATGACTGCATTTAGGGCACAGCTTTGACTCCCTCTGTTCTCTGTCCTCAGCACATCTGTGTCTGTTACCCTCTCCTGTGGTAAAGCCCAAATCCTGCTTGTCCACCTTCAGCACTGAACAGACCAAGGGCTGGGATCACATCACTCAAACTTCCCTGCCCTCCATGCAGACTGCACTCAAATAGAGCCACTTCCTCTGCCTCATTATTTCACATGGCCTTGAACTCAGGCATTTGCTTCTGAAAAGCCAGCTCCATTTACAAGTGTTTGTCACCTTCCCAGGAACAAAGAAAGAATCATTCTGTCCTCAAATGGTATCTAAAGGGCTTCTCTCCTACCTGCCCCTCAATTCTGACATTGGCCAAATGCTCCATTTATCCTAAGGTGTCCTGGAGCAGAATTCTGGTCCATTCTGCTGATCCTCTCTTGGAAGGGTCAACATCAGCACATGGGAAGAAAAGGTGTGGTGGGGATTGGCCTCTTCCTGGTCAGGTACACAGCCAGATCCCAAACTTCAGCTCTGGTTGTTTTCATGTGGCTTGCAATGAGAGTATTCCAAAGCTGGGATCCAGCTGCTGCCTTGCTAACATGGAACCATCCCTATGCACGTTTTTCCTCAGTTAACTGAAGGGGTTTACAATAGCACCTGGAATTCACCGATTTCAGGAGTCCACAGAATATGCCCAGGTGGCACATCACAATTGCCACATCTCAGAAGTCTTTGTGACCATAATAAACATCTGTGTAAATTACTTCATTAAAAAATGACCCGCCGGCAGCGGCCGCACGGAGCGCCCGGGGCGGCACCGGGGCAGGGCCGGGAGCCGCCCGCGTCCCGCCCGCCCCGCGCTCGGGCACGCTGGGCCGGGGGTGCGGGTGCCCGAGAGCCGGGATGGCCCTGCCGGCGCCGGGCCCGAGGCGGCCGCAGCCCCGCAGAGCCCAAGGACGAGCGCTTCCGCCCCGCGCTGCCGCCCCCGGGCGTGCCCGGGACCATTCACGCCTGGCGGCTCGGGGGCCGGGAGTTTAACAGCGGATGCAAAACAGATAAAAGAACCTGTCCGGTCTAAAAAGCGCACAGTTCCCTCCAGAATTCCAGTACTTCGGAATCAAGGAGTGGAGACACCGGGGACACGTTTCATGGCCAGGAGAAGTGAAAAGGCAAGGGAAAACAAAAAAAGTCGCACGCCCTTCACTTACTGCTGAATAAAGAAGGGAGTTGCAGGAACCACAATGGAGGCCGTGAGTGCATCTAATCCTGTCTGTACAGGCAGAGTTGTCAGGATGAGGAAGGAAACGAGGAGCAAGTCTACAAAGAAGCACCGACTTTGAAAAACCAGGATGTACATAGGAGAAGCTGGAGGAACTTCAGAACTAAAACAGACTAAATATCCACAGCATGAGCGAGGTAGAGGCAGGCAAGCACCAACTTTTGAAGTTAACTTACTAGTCTCATAGAAATAGAACTGAAAAAATCAGCAAGTTAGAAGAGAGGTGACAAAACTACGATGCAGCTATGAATAAACTAGCACGGGAGCAGGACAGATGTCATTTGTATAGTTTTCCAGAACTGGGAAGAAGCACACAATGTCGATGACACCCAGAGCTTGAGAGGCTGGACTTTGAGGCTGCGTGAAGAAATTTACCATCACGTGGGCTGGAAGCATTTACAGAACTCTGAGCTTCTAAACCAGAGATGAATAACCATGCGCAACTTCTGAAGACTTCTGTAAAGTATCTTTAATGACTTGGTTCATGCCATTTTAAAAACAATAATTTTCAAGAAGAAAATCAATATATCTGTTGTATTGACTTTGCTTTTCTCATTCCCACGTTTGCTAATGGTTTGGCATCTACAGTATGTACAGTCTGATGCCTGGGAAGATAGACTGAAAATTCTTTCCAAGTTTCCAACTTGCTAATTATAGTGCACAATTGTCGTCGACTTGCCCCACCATTCCCTACCTCAGTGTAATTAAAAAAAATAAAATCAAAAAGTCTTTCTGTGAAGGCTCCACAAAATGCCAAAGAGACCATCACTGCGTTTCTCTAATTTTTATGTATGGCCTCTCTAACCTTAAAAAACTGATAAGCAGTCATGCAAATGATGGAAGAAATTCACTGGAAGAGGGCAGCTATCATGATCTAGAGAGCTGTTGAAACATTGGGAATCTTTATTAGACAGCAGTCCTTGATCTTTCCTGAGAAAATGTCTTCATTTCATCCCAGTAAGATTTCTGCAGGTAGGTATGAAGGAGAAAAAATTGTTGCTCCTCTTTCTCATCAGTCAAGCTGTATTTACTCACCTTCATTAAAGGAAGTGTCTCTGCAACTGATCTTGGTAAAATGTCATTTAACCAGAACGTGTTCTTTATCAAATGCTTTAGAGGCATTCTAAATATTTGGATTGGGTCTCTGTTTGACAAGGCCACACCTACAGTTCTTTTAAAGGAAGATGCCATGTGATATCACCTAGATAAGTGGATTCTCAAAACACATCCCCATCTCTTTAAAACAGACAAGAAAATGGGCATGACAAAATCCACATTATACAATGTTGTATATACAAATTAAAAGACTGCATCTCAGTTTTTTTTCCTGATACTAAATTTAACATGATTCAGTAAAACATGGAAGCAAAGCACCAATAATCATCTTTTCCCAAGTCCTTGAAGAATGCCAGTCTTCAGATCTCTAGAGTTTCTTCATTTGCCCCACAAGTGTCTACAACACAGATTAAACAACTCGTCACTGGGAAAGCACGGACTTTGGAGTTGGCTATCCACTTGTCTGTTTCAGTGTTATATTCAAGAATGTGCCCTAAGCGACCAACACCCTGAAAACCAGCCAGGACATAGACTATAGATCCCACGGCAGCACACTTCACTGTTACACCTTTCCATGGCATTGGAGACACCATCTTCCATTCATTCATCTTGATATCGTAATATTCTACATTATCAAGGCCACCTACAAAGCAATGAGATAGATAACTGCTTATTATGTTGCACTGTATGGACTACACTAGAGCATGCAAACTGAAGTATTTTCAAGGTTTCAAAAACCCCACACTTAAAAAAGCAAATCTGATACAAGCCAGTTTCTAAACTAGCAGCCTATCCTTGTATAAATACAAAACCAGGAGAAGTATTCTCACAAATTCACACTAGATACTTTCTAGAGATTCAAACATGTTACTTCATGAACAGAAGAACCTTCAGTGCTGAACTTCTGATGGATTTGGAGCTAGTGACTAAAACTCAGGAATTACCTGAAACTTCCCTAGAGCAGTGGCATTTCATTCTAGAGGGCTCATGGGTACTTTTACCAAAACTGGCAATTTACTGATAGAGGAGGTCTCTTGTCATGATAATCATTGAAGTGTAAAACCCTAAGTCCCTTTGAAAAGGGCCAAAGGAAACAAAAGTTATTAGAGAAGAGTAGATTTTGTGACTAAGATTTGCTTCTTCAGGAAATATGCTAGTAATTACACTTGACAATAGCTACAAACATGCTGCTGTCCCTATTTAACTCAGTTTTTACTTCCAGTACTGAATTATTAAATCTGAGAGATTAAGAAATCTCTCTATCATATTAACATGTATGAGTTTTTAAATCTAGACATAACTCTTCCTCATTTTACTACAGTAAGAATAATTTTTAACACTTCTAAGAGGAGCATTCAGTGAATACACATATTTTGCAAGATGGCATATTATGGATTGATAAAATGTTTGTGCAATAAATGTATCTATTATTTTTTGCATTAGGAATCAATCACAATGGAATAGTTTCAGTAGCCAATTAAAAATCAAGCTGCATTCTAAAACAGCATTCATCTGAAATCAAGAATTCCACTTACCGTAAGTAGAGATTAAAAAAACCTCATAAATGAGAATTTTCCATTTTGAAAAGCATTTAAGAAACCCTGCGCAATTAAAATTCAATTTTTCTTGTAAAGTATCATTCTTCAAGTTTTAAAGACAAGGAGACAGGCAGATCATAATTGACCTGGCCATGACAGCAAATCACATCTCAAAGCTAGAGCAGTCCAAAGAGGACTCAATTTTCACCATTTTACAATACCAGACTAGATTTAAATCTTTAGACTAAAGTTCCTAAAATATGGCCTTTACCTGTCTCTCAAAAGACTGCTAAAATCTCTGAAAACATATGAATAACTAAAAAACCCACCAAAAATAAAAATAAACAAAGAAACTTTTTTCTCAGATGCCTGGTTTAGCCATATTAACTGCTTCAGAACTGGGCTACAGTAGGGGTGCATATCTGAACTTGACTATCACGAGTACAAGAATTTGAAAAATAAGATAACAGTGAAGTGGGGAGGTGAAAGGAAGAAGGCAACACTGATGTAACAAGAAGGCATGTTTGATGGTGCTGCTCAAAGCTTTGCAGCTGAATAGAGTGGAACAAATTCATTCCAAAACAGAAAAAAACTCCCATGAAACCTTGTGTGACCAGATAGAGAATTAATAGAATTAAAGTACCTAAACTATTTTGTCCACCCACAGCAAATATTTTGTCCTTTACAAACACCAGCCCATGATTCTTTCTGGCTTCAATCATTGGACACAGTTCAGTCCACCTGGGGAAAATAAATCAAACAGAAAAGAACAAATCACCATCTGGTTCATAGAAAATAAGTATAACTTATCATCAGGAAAATAAAATATGGAAGAAAGCTGCAGAAGAAAAAACATCTTTCAAGCAGAACTACAAATAACTGATTTCTTAATGCTGACTCAGGGAAAATTCCTTACCAGAGTTTTTCCTGTAGTCATTTATACTTCAGTCATTTACACAAGTGACTAAAGCCAACCTGAATTAAACCAGCACTTACGTTTCTGTGGCTGGGTCATAAACTTCACAGGAATTCAGGACTCTTCCGGAAACATTGTTTCCCAGGCTCCCTCCGCATACATAAATGAGCCCATTGGCCTCTACCATTCCATGGCTGCAGCGCTGAGTCAGCATGCTGGGCTTTGTGTGCCAGCTCTCTGTTCTCGTGTCATAGCATTCAAATAAATACAGTGCAGAATTGCCTTCAAAAAAAATAGAAACCCACCAAAGTGGCATTAATCTTTATGGTTGTCTTTCAAGAGAAGAGTCTAACAGCAATTATCAAATTGATGCTTTGTGTGTTAGTGGAAAAGGGAAAGCTGCTTTCCCACCTCCAAAAGTAGAACTAGCCAGCTTTAAATTTGGGATTATTCAGAAAGCACGTACTTGTAATTATTTTGATTCTTTTGTTCCAAAATATGCAAGTAAGTTTATAAAATTGCTATTTGTGTTTAAAACAACATGAAAAAGGTAATTTCTTTTTTCTTGGAGGGGAATAAATGCTAAATAGAGATGTATATTAATTACCCATCCCACTGTCATCAGCCCATGCTACTCTTTCTACTTGGAAATATATTGAACTTTCAGATGTGACGATGAAACCAGCTTTGTAAACTCACTACAGGCTCATGAGTCTTTTTCCTCTAAGCAATGTGACTTGTCCAATACCCAGAACACTTGTTGCCTTTGGAATTTGATAGCTTATGTCATAACATACTCCTGGAATCATTACCAACCACAAAACAGCTACCTCTGCCCAATTTACTTTCTTCCTGAGGACTGGTAGATACTCATTGCCTGGAAGTGCAGGGTCTGTGTACTCTTCCCTCAAAAGCCAAGGAAACTATTACTGAAATCAAAAGCAATTTTGCTAATGAAGATAGATGGGGGCTCAAAACTCATGCTCAGGTAAGTGACCGAACAATAGCCAAGGCAGGGAAGGCTGAATACAACTTTCTCAGAAAGAACAACATCATTCCTCTCTTTGTTTCAAAAGATATATTCACCTAGAACAGTTAAAAGTGCCTTTTCTTGTGCCTGTTTTACCTCGGCTTTCTACTTCTAAAAATTAAGCATGTCACACTAACAGCACTTACTACCAGCTGAGTATTTGAACCTTCAACAGGATGCTGTTTGCAGACCCAAAATGACTCCTACATACACACTCCTATAAAGTGTGCATTTGTTCACTCCCCACCCTGTCACTCTCAGTACCACCAAAAACTGAATAGAGTGGGACATTTTTTTCTTTGATGTAAATAGACATTCTTATTGCTTTGAAGTTGTAGAAATTCCCATCCATGGAAAATTTAACAGGAAAAAGCTTTCATTTTCCACATAATGTTAAGTATTTCTCCTGCACTGAAACAAGAGCGGAAGAATCTGGTATGTTTAGCTTCCAAACTCTGCTAGTTGTTGCAAACAGAACAGGACTCCCATCAATCCAAGAAGGGGAAAAGAGCCATGTTGTCTGTAATGGACTGGTACAGTAATCCAACCTCTTCAATTGATGGAAAAAACATTAAATTTTTAGATTTCTTTACAGCTAAACACCCTGCAGCATTTTATCAGATTAATGCTTTCAACATAATTGCCTGCTTCAAATTAGAAAACACTAGATTCATGAGAGACAGACCATTCCAATTTCAGAATTCACTGAATTCTGAAGAAAAAGTACAGGCAAATTAAACTTCATTATTTATGTTTAGCTTTTACTATTCTGTCTTGATTAATATTTATGGAAAGCAAAGTGAAACTGTGCAGTAATGTGTATTTGTAAGAAAACTGCTACATTAAAACTTCAACTATAGTTGTATTAACTATTTACCATGCATTAGAAAATACACTGTACAATCAAAAAGTTTTACTGTTATTCCCCATATATTGAAACATGGGAAACTGTGAAGATTCATGAGATTGTGTGTTCCAAGTTGCCCAATGTGGCCTTAGTTAAGCCTATTTCAAGTAATGGGAAAGGTGCTGTTTCACATTCACCACACGAGGTGGCAGCTGGGAACTGCTTATTCTGCTGCTACATTAGACCTCTTAACATATTTTAGAGGTCAGAAAATGTGGCCTAAATGTTACCTCCATTAAATGACTTATCAGTGTTAAGCACCGAACATGACAACTTTTTCCTCTGTTCACCTCCCTCTGCAGCAAGGCAGACCTCAAAAGGATCTTCCTTCTAGGATTTTTTTACCATTTGTTTTTATTCCCCAGAACACAGCTTTATTACTATTTTTATGGCTATACCATGCCTGCATTTCAACCTTTGGGTTGTTGATGATGTGTCATGTTTAGACAAAATAAAATGTTCCTGCAACACCACAGCATAAGTCACCTTCTAGGTTTTTTGGAGAGAGAAAAAATCCCAATGGCCTTTTTTTTTTTTTCTTTACTATGCTGAATAATAACATCTAAAGGAAGTATAATTTCTCCATTTGTGGAAGCAAGCTAACAGAATAACAAAATAACAGAAGATAACTTCTGTCATTTGACAAAAAAATTGGACAAATTCCTTTATAGGACCAAGTACAATTTCACCACCAAAAGCATTACTTATTAGATTTCTTTTCCACTTTCCCTCCCCTTTAAAACACCTCATTAGGCCCAACATGTGCTGTATAAAAGGAAGGCCATTGTCAAAATGCAGCTATTCTGGTCACACATTACAGAAAATTTTAAACTACATTGAATTCTGTGAATTTATAGAAGAAAGGTAAGAGTGGGACTCCCAAAATATATTTCATTGAATCACACCATCACAGAATGCTTTGGGTTGGAAGTGACCTTAAAAATCATCTATTTCCAATCCCTCTGCCATGGACAGGGACACCTTCCACTAGATCAGGTTGCTCAGAGCTCCATCCAATCTCTTCCCTATTCAACTCTTTAAGAACTGCGGTGTACTTTTTACTAACGTAAATACTACTCATTTCAGTGAAACCATTTTCAAAACACAACAAAAATAGGTTGTTGGACTGGGCAAAGGGGGATAAAATCCTAAATATGGGGAAATAAACTCATTAGGGCTAACATGGCAACGTGCAGTTTCTTGTCAACAAAATCATGCAAAAAACCAGAAAAATTTCCAGCTATCTTTCTTTGTGCTTTTTTGTTTGTTTTAAAGATTTTTAGTGTCTTACCCACTTCTGAACCACCAGATGTATAAATTTTGCCCTCAGCAGCACAGGCTGCAAGGCTATCTCGAGGTGTTGGAGGTCCTAGCTTGGAATACCAGCTATCCTTCACCACATTGTAGCAGTCCATTCGCTTTATAGGGAAGAGCTGGGAACCACCCAAAATATAAACTACGTTGTCCCAGAAGACACAAGCTGCATCCCTGCGCTTTTCAAAGGGACATCGGATGTCTGTCCAGCTGTAATCCTGCATTACAAAGAACAAGTAATGTCTAATAGATTATAACACTTACCTGTACAGTGAGTGTTTTCAAACAGAGCTTTTCACAGAGATTTAGATATGGTCAGTTTTAAGTTCCTTTTCAAAACAAACATGAACACTGTTTATTGAAGAATACTCCTCAGGCGTACTCTTGAAAAATTCTCTTAGACACAGACATAGTTAGCTGCAATGAACCATGACATTAAGAAATTCTATTTCCACATTCCCTGTGTGCACCCAGTACAGCTTCCCTGAAAAACAGTTTTGTTGTTTTTTCCAATACAATTGACCTCCAGCTGCTATCACGTTAGAAACAATGCATGTAACCAATAAAGTAGGATTGCATTTTCTTTTATAGCAACGGAAAAAGACATCTTACATATAGTAACAGATTCTTTCTAAAAAATAATAAAATACAGAATGTACCAAACAAAGACAATGGAAAAAGGAGAAGATAATATCCAAATTGACAAGCAACTCAGTAAAAAAGCTCTGATACATACTTTATTACCATGACAACTAGAAGCTTATTTACAGAATTTACAAAACACAAACGTTCTATAGCTATCCACAGTTGATAGCATGAGAAATAAGATAATGCTCCATCACAAATACTGGCAGTCATGATGCCTAGAAACTGATTTTGCACAGATTGGCAAAATCAGCAAGTATAAAATATGAGCAGTAATGCCCAAAGCCTTAAAAACACCAAACTCAACAACTGATGGCAGACCAGGATAGCATACAGCACAAGAAACACTTCTTGAGTAATAGCATCTCACATATTCCATGAGCATAGCTTGAATCCTATACTGAACAGGAAAGTATGGGACCTTAACTGTTATCTGTGCCACCTCAAGAAGGTCTACCTCAACCTGCTGAATGACCTTCACTGTAATGGTTCACACAAGACGTTACATCATTACATTTTCTTAGCAAGGACATACTTCAAACACCTTGGTCAATGAGGAAGAACAGCGACTCCTACATGGGGGTTCAAAGAAAGAGAGGCAGAGCATGTTATAGTCCAGAACATCTTACAATCTTTTCTTGTAGCATCCCCCATATCAAGAAGAGCTGTCAGCTGCATGTGGCCCTTTATGATGAGAAACAGGTCCTGGGGCATCCTAGAAAGGAAAGCCATACTACAGCATGGCAAAATAAATAGCTGCATAAATCTTACGAAAATGTCTCAGTGCATTGTGCAAGATCAACATACTTTCTAGCTCAAACTTCTGGCAATTTTACAAAATATCCCGTTGTTTTCCTTTACTGTTATAAAGGGCAGTGACCTGACCCACTTTTATGGCTTCCGTTCATGTATCCATTTCATCCATACCTTTATCAAATGAAAAGCATAACTTGAGTATACTCAGCAGTATCCTCCTCTTTCAGCAGGAGGCAATTTAGGTCATCCTCTTGCAATGCTCTTCGATGTTAGTCTGTACCACATAGAATTATTTCAATTTTTGAATTGAATACATTTAAGAATTATGCAGAAGTGTTGCTTTACACCACAGTCAAGATCCACACAGCCCTGGGCAGTGCAAGTCTCTGTTCTCAGGGACTGGTTAGGGAAAGATGGACCAAGGCAAGTATACGGTGACTCTTTCCCTTTTGATCTCTGTTTTCATCAAGTTGCAATGCAGGACACCAGAGCCAAAAGCTACACCTTTTTCTCTTTCATCAATTTATTGAATCACTTATTACAACTACTTGAACTCCTGAGAGCCTCAAGACCCTGTGACAAGAATGGCACACACAATTATGCGCCCTGTGAAAAAGTACCCTTTTTGTTTAAGGCTTTTGCTTATTTTCAATTGATTCCTCTTCCAAGTTTGTCATAAAAACCAGCAGACAGGTCCACTGTGGACAACCTCCTCACTAACAGCTTACTGACCACAGCTCTACCTCCTCATAAAAGGTATGCTGGTTCCCTTGATCATCAAGAAATAGCATTGCCAGGCATCTGTTACTTTTTATTTGCCATTGTTGAATTTTGCACTGCTGAGAATTTAAAACTTCCAACCATTTCTGGCCACTAGAGATAGTAATTTCAAAAGAATAAGCATATTGCTGACACAAAATCTCAATCATATATAAATTCTGTACTGAGAATTCATAAAATAAAACAACAAGTATTTTATCCCCAACCTAGGGATTTTTTTTTAATTCTGTGAAAAATTCAACAAGAAAATGCTTCCTACAACTGTTAATAGAACATCTAGGATTTCTAGTAGCATTCTGAAACCACGTATGTCTACTCAAATTAGTGCCAGACTGCTCCACAAGTGTTATGCCCGTCTGCATCTATCCCATTGCATCATTTTGCTTTCTTGATGAAGAACATGCATCAATAGAAATACTAGTTACAGCGCAACAAAGGTAGAAAATATAGTCTTAAAATAATACTAACATTCTCAACAAATGAAACACAGTATCCAATTCAGTCTTACTTAAAGAACTCTTCCAACAACAAGGAAATGACTATCAGCATTACAGACTAATTTTGTGTGCAAAGGAATCAGTGAAAATTAAAATTTTTGCACTAGTTTTATCATATAACAGCTATAGAAACTCATATTGCAACCAAGACAATATTTTCAGGAAAAATATAACCTCTCTTTTGAATTGGTTATGTGACATGTAACAATTTAATTACATTTCTGATTTTGATTAATATCAGAAGTGAGGGACTAGGTCACTATTCAATCAGTTAAACAGACAAGCAAAATTCCAATTTTTCCCAAGGTCCTAACCTTGCAAAAGTATACACAAGCTTAATTCTCTGTTCTGTGACCCTCCCATCATCTTTTGATGAGATCAATTAAAGTGAGTTAAATGGTAATTCAGCAGGGGTTCTGGATCCTTGGTTTGTTGCATTTAATAAGCTATTGTCAGAGTTTAAAGATTAAAATCAAATACTCATGCAAAACATACAGAAAAGGACCGTTAAATAGCTTAAGAGTTGGAAATTGAGTAAAAGCTGTTCAACAAGACACAGGCTAGCTAAGAGTACCCAAGAAAGCATATAAGCACTAGGAAAACATTGAAGGAACACATGCTTGTTAGAGTAAAGATCTCTAATTACCCACTTTTAAAATTTTCCTTCCCTGCCCCATTCTTCCCCCACTCCTTATTCCACATGCAAGGCCGCAAGTCTTGATTAAGAGGCAATTCTTCAAAATTTCTTCCAAATTCAGTTATTTTTTGGTGCTATACCTGGACAAGCAGCCTATGAAAGGTTTTATCTTTTATCCTATGCTTTATGTAGACTTTCACAGACACTACTCTTTGTCTACAAAACAGATTTCTGCCAAAACCATGCAACTGCTTGAAAAGTTACAAATGCCCTGATCAAAGGCTTCCCAAACCTGGCCCTTGGAAAGGAATTCTCTGCTCTTTACCCCTCACCTCCTTACCCCCAGCTGAAGTGCTGCTTATCTTGAGTATGTGTATAAAGGAAAAAGGCAGTCATTAGTCAAGACTTTTGGATTTGAATTCCCAATAGGAATACATATTAAGCGTCTCTCAAGCTAAGTCAGCAAAGCTGGCAGGTTTGGGGCTCCCCCCGGCCCCCGCCCGAACTTAAGTGGTACTCAGAGAAGGTGGCTTGAATTTTATCTTACAAAAGGAATGTGAGAAAGAAAAGTTCAAAACACATCCCGAAGGCTCATTAATTCAAAATTAGATTTGACAGGGCTCACATTGACTATGATGTTCACACAGCACACAAAACTGTTTGAAATTTTAACAAGCATTTAACATGCTGAGTTAGAACCAGAATTTCTTCAATAAAATATTACTACATGCATGGGATCTCATAACTTAAGAGAGCCCTGATGCTTATGTTGTAAATTTTTTCTATATTACTGTATGTGCTTGCCTGGTAAAACAGAGTATGGGTAATCCTTCTGCATGCAGTTGATGTTTTTAGACCCTTTAGTCTGCATAGCTGAAATATATACCATTCCTGTGACTTGACTTTATTCAATAAACACGGGAACAAATTTCAGGCAGAACTTGCTTGCTCTAAATTGATCATCTAAGTTTTTTTTTTGTTGTTGTTGTTGTAAAAACTCACTCTTCCACTTATGTAATACTTGGCTCCCCATTCTTCTCCTTATATACTTTTAAGAACAAACAAAACTATGAACCACTGGGATTTAGAAGTGATTGCATACTTATAATAAATGCACTAAAAAAGCCCAAAAAAACCTGGGTTCTACACTAACATACAAGCCAGTAAATTAACATGTACTAAAAAAACCTGCTTTGAGTAATCTCTAAACACCTATGTGCATGCACATGCATACAGACTTTCATATATTCCTAACCAATTGCATGATGTTTTAGTGACCTTTTGTTTATTTGCAGCTGAGAAATGCACATAGCAATCAATGCTCAACTCAGACAGATTGAACAGCTTTCCATATCTAATACTGCTAAGAAACAAACACAATCATTCTGTTCAAAACAAAGTATTACATCTAGGTACACAGACTTAAAAAGACTTAATTAACCATATTCTTCCAATTGTATACCCAGGAGGGAGGGAATACTTCCTTCCTAAGACCATTTTGTAGATCACTATGTCTTAGTTAATATCATCAACCAAGAAAACAGGTAAGATTACAAACAGTGAATCTTAATGCATTCTGAGGTAACGATTACCTTGGGATTAAAATATCTGCAGGACTGGGGCTGAGAGCCTCCAAACAAAGCAATGCGATAATCATGTTTTTTTCTTCTTGGTCGGGTGCCTTCCACTAACTCTTCTCGGTCTTCCGGGGAAAGGAGGTGGTACCGCATCCCACCTGCAAGAAGACAACAACAGCTGCAGATCCAGTGTAGCTCATACGTGGACTGGGAGGTTTCAGAGGCAGGGATGGGGGAGAGATGGAAGGGAAGGAAAAGAGGAAAAGCAAGTTTCTACATTACACCTATACAGCTTTGATTCAAACTGGAAGAACGCACAGCAGCATGTGAGGGTGGGAGCACACATCCAGATTTACACCCTATTCCAAACTGGCTGCTCCATGTGAAAACAGGACAGATACAGACTCACGTTATGTAGCAATGGATTAATCAGCTCATTTATCCAATATTAACAAGCAATTAAGATTATTGCATTGAAACAGTCAAAAGGAAGCAAGCCCAAAAGAAAGCATTCCTAAGAGTGCAAAAATACTGGTGGCATTACAAGCCACTAAAACCAGAAAAAAATCCTTACTTCCTATACAATGTACCCAACTTGGTGTCACACAAGAAGTATGACTCTGATATCAAATATCAGCAGATACTTACCAACATATAGGTTCATTTGAATCCTGTTCATTGAGTCTGAAGGAAAACAATTATGTACTGATTTTTAGATCTACATTAAATTGAAGCCAACTAGCTAACTGCTACTGAAATTGCTTTTCCTTCTTACATGATAAAATTTTACAAATGGTGTCTAAAAACAAAAGGGAAGTGTGTTTCCTATTTAATCTGCACCCTGAGAATGCAAATGTAGGATCAATCATTGCAGGATCAATGGTCAGTATATAATAGATAAAAATAGTAAAACATACACCTAAAATTCTAATTTGCTTAGGAAAGCTTTAAAATATTCAAAATGTAGACATATTTCTTTTAATAACGCACAAACATATGAACAATATTGAAGTTACAAGCCTGTCAAAAGGCAGACTAACTTTCAGTTACCCTAAGGAGTCATTGACAAAATCTCCATTCCATTACTTCTCATGGAGTTCATGCCATTTGCTAGGAGAAAACAAATGAAAGTCACACTGTTACATAAAATTAGTTTTATTCACATAATAAGCTGCTAATCCAACTTCAACTAAAACACAGCATCCTAAAGGGAACACAGAAGGATTTAATGTGAAAATGTTAGAGCATTTTAAAGCAAACAATTTTCAAAAAATTTCAAAGCATTTTTAAAATGACATAGAACATCATAAAGATTTCAGCTAGAGGTCAACTTACTGATCACCATTTTAAGGCATTCTGGGTTATCCTGAATAAGTGGTTCAGCCTGAACAGTTTTACTTAAGAAGTTCTTTGATATTAGAGGAAATCGGACTTTAGCAAGAATATCAACCATGTACGGCTGGCGATTTGGCTCATCATACTTCAGCCATCTGACAGCTGCATCGTACACCTTAAACAAGAGACAAGGAGAGAAAGGGATAAGGCACATCACTACACAGCATGACAAGTAACAGAACCTTAATGCTATAATTGATTCTAATGCCTGCTGGAGGCTAACCTATATTAACATTTCATTATGTGGGGATGCCATTGCCATATTTTGAAAAAAAGCCCAAAAAAACTCCTCTACAGCAAAAGTCAACCAAGTCCAAAAAAGACAATGCTTAGACATTTGTAAAACAATTGCACAACCACTGAATAAATCTCATCTACAAACTTCAAAAGCCTACTACTGATGCTGTTTAACTTTTTTCCTTCCAAATGAAAAACATTAATCTGCAGTTCACATTTATGCGGGTAACTCCTGTACCAGGTTAAATCTAATGCTCTTCAAGTTCTGTGCCATAACATCAGTAATGCTTTCACAGAAATGAAATAACTTCTACTTGATACAGTCTCCTGAGGTGATAAACTGGTTCCCTGAATAAATCATCATGTTGGATATCCAAATACATTGCTATTGTTGTGTCTTAGGGGACCACTTAAATCAAAGTTTTTATCTGCAAACTACTGTAAATTTACCAGATCATCTCCTCTTTTTCTCCTCCTCATGGGAAAAGACAATGGGTTTTCTTAGGGGTCAGAGAAGGTAGAACAGAGAAGATAATCAAGAAATCTGCTCTATTTGTAATTAAACACTGGTTCAGGAAGAAATGAAAAAAAAATCCAGGATTACATATATATTCTGATACTTCCATGCTGTTCTCAGATACAGCAAGCTTACTCAGAAACACTGACTCTGAAGTGGCAGGACAACCTCACTGTAAGCAATAGCACAGGCAGTGTCTATACCTGTAGATGAAACTGGTCACAGTGATTAGTGCTGAGTGACTGAGATATGACATGGAAAGACACTTCATGGAAGAATTATTCAGGACTACTAGACCAGCCCAGCTATAACTCTTCAAAATTACCAGGAAAAATGGGAGAGCAAAGAAAACAATTAAAGGCTCAATTCCATCAGCTAAGGAAATTCAACAGAATGACTTGAACAGGAACACTGTATAGGACAGATGGTGCTTAACAGTGCTTAATGCTACCTTTCCTTTTTGCTAAATGTAACTATGCTCCACACCAAAACAAAAGTTAGAGTATAATGTCAATTTTCTAGCAGTACTCCTGAGAAATAAGGTTCCTGTAGTACAATTATCAAACTTTTGTAGTTTCCTACTGTACTCTACCAGCTTCCTAATGGAATTTTAATGATGCCATGCTGAATACATAGCATTTCTACCACTGCTGCTAGTTAAAGCATGCCCTCCTACCTTACCAATAGAACTTCAAGAATGTAAATCATGTGCCATTTTGGTTGCAAGCCAACCAACACTTCTAGCTCTGAGAATGTTGCCCCATGATCTGAATTTTCCCAGCACTCAGCAAGAATTTTGAGCTGTGACACTACTCACATTTATACCTGTAACAACCCAACTACCACATTCTACCACCTGATATTATCCCCCACTCTTACTAATTCTTATTTTCATAAGTTACATCACCACACAGTAAGAAAAATAACTAAACCTTAATGCTTCAAATCAATTCTTCTGCCTGTTGGGAGGTCAATGTCAATGGAAACTTCAGCAGAAGTCAGCAGAATATCCATTTCCAAGAGGATATACACACCATCTCAGCTATAACATCCCTCTGCTGCACTTCGAACTCATGATGCCATATCCACACAAACTTAAATTACCTAATTCAAACACCAGAACAGCAGAGCTACAAAGGTAAGGTTTCAGTTTGTTTTCAACAGCTTTGACTAAGAAGCTACAAGTGCCCAGGAGTGACAAGTACCACTCAGCTGCTAAAACAGACTACAACCACCTGTCTGGGCTGCAGTTTAGACATCTATATGCTTCCTATTTTCCTGCAGTAGGAAGAACAAGCTGGAGAATAATCATTCAGGGCTGGGCTCTAAGCTGAATCAAGCATTCCAAATGGGATGCCTGCAGATGTGATTTCTACTACAGGTTACAAACTTTAATTGAGTGAACACCATGCTCCTTTCAGCCACTTAAACTTCATGTCTAGTCCCTAAATAAGGATCTTCCAGCAATCCACCACTGCCAATGCATGTAGCTTTCAGTGTTTTACTCATCTTACTTCCAAGTCCCTCAGTTCCCCAGGCTTGTGTATATGTATATATATACATATATATATGTGTGTGTGTGTGTGTGTTTCCATCACAAAATTCCTCTCTGGAACAGGCTAGGCCACACTCAGGTAGAAATGTGCTCCCATTAAAGTGCAGTTTGCTCACCACTTTGAAGTGGTCCACTTTCACCAAAAGCACATAAATCCCAATCTAGAAGCAACCACTACAAAACAAACAATTTAGCTCATGTACTATTGAATCAGAAGCCCTACAGCTACCTTGACAAAGTAAACTGTTTATTCCCTCTGTGACTTCTTTCTTCCAACTTTGCTGAAACAACACATCTATAAACTACAATTGAAATGTGAATATTTATTAATATTTGGTTTTGAACAAGTTAGGATGCACCTTTTACTCCACAATTTAGCAAGCACTAAGTGCATCATATCCTCTAGGAATATCAGTAAGCGAGACACTTGAATATCTGAAGCCAGTTCTTGATTAAAATCAAGAAGTTAAGTTCAATGCTTTTAGCTGCCATGAAACAGGGATCTCACCTGGTCTTCTGCCCTCACTGTCAATGTATCTTGGTTCAGGAGATGTGTCACACGCTTAACATCAAGCTGAAGAAACTCATCTGTCTTGTACACCTCAGTGAAATGCTGATGGATGAAGTCGTCTGCAGTGGCTTTCAGTTCTGGGCAGTCTAGGCATTCTGCTAGCACACTTATGCCTATGAAGAAAAATTAAGAAAAAAACTCTTTTAAACTTGAACTGCAATTATCTTTAATATATGAAAATAGAATAAATTACCGTAATTTCAGTGATACTTAAAATTCCAGTTTAGTATTTATTACCATGCCTTTTTTCCCCCCCATTAAAACACATGGTATCATAACTCATCTGCAATTCAAGGCAAACTAAGACAGGGGCAAGCTGCTGATCCCTATTCCTGCTGAACTAATTGGAGAGTCAGACCTGCAACACTTGCTGTATTAACTGTCTCTCCAGCACTATTTCCTCACTGTTTCTTTCCCAATTACAAAGCAGACAACAGTACCTTAACCAAGTCTGAGCCAAGCCACACTAACCAGAACAGCTTGAGAAACTGGATCCACATTTTACAACCTCTCCTGACCTGCTCATGCACCATCAGTTACCAACCAAGCCCAGTTTCCTTCAAGAGCCATGGTGAACTGGGATCTTTCTATACATGCAGCACAGTCAGCTGCAGACCAACAGAAAGTCAAGTTGATGTTGCTGGAAGGACAGGAAGTTGGCAAAAAGGCAGAAACAGCAACAGCAGCTGAGAAGCACCACTGCCAATTTTGCCATTAAAAACCATGTAAGCACAGAGCTTTTCAGCAGCAACTTCTCATCATGCCACAGGTCTTCCTTCTCACAGAGGAAACGGCAAGAGTGGTAGGAGCAACTCACTAACATATGGGTTGCAATTAGTGTGAGCTGCTCAGAGTAGTAAAATGCAAACCAGAAGGATAAAATCCACCTATGTGTCAAAATTACAAAATTCAAATTAAGCCATGTTTTCTTTCAAATACGTTTAAAAAAAAAAAGAACTGTGTACTTGCACAGTCTGCACAAAACATGTTTCAATTTAAAAACAATGCCGTAAGGAAAAATTGTTTTAATCTTTTTGCAACAAATTAGCAACAAAGTATGCAAGTGTTAGAGACCATAATTAATTTCCCACCTAACAGAAGCTAGAGGGCAGAAAGATGCCTCAAAGCAAGCCTAAGTGGTATTTTCCTTAGGTAATGCCTTTCTTCCAGCAGTTCCTTCAGAGCCACAGCTGTGCTGCACTGAAGTGTCAGCTGAGTCACTGTAATTCAGATATACTCTGCAAAACATTTCTATTGCTGCTATGAACATCTGTAATATGATTAAGAGGTTACTAGGAGAGTACCTAACAATGGCAACAAAAAAACCACTAAAAAGAAGTTTCTCTTATATTTCTGATTATACAAAAAGCACCAAATCTTAAGCATGAAAAAGTATTTAGTTCTACTTGTTTACCTCTTCTGTAACACTGAGACCACATTAGAGCTACAGAACATGATATCAAACCTGCCCAGATAACATTGCTTTCAGTCAAAATAAAAAGTGAATAAAACCAAAAGTACCCTAAACTTACTCTGTTTATACTTGTAAAAGATATGCTAGTTTTGTAAAAGTTACAAACATGTAAAATTCTGTTTGCAAATACAGTAACAATTGAAAGCTCCACCTCACTAAACACATGCAGTTCTCTAACAAACAAGAAGCCCCAGCATCCTGCCAAGCTGGATGAGACCTTGCACAGTCAGCAGACTTTGTGGCAAGGGCAACAGTTCAGATTCAGAGAAAAACTATTTTTACATGCCTTGATTTAGCCAAATGTTATGGCTATCCACAGACAGACAATACAGCGAAGTTAAAAAATAAACAGCAAATTTAAGTCTATCTCTCTCACCAAGACAATTGGAAGCATCAACTTGTTCTTTCAAAAAGTCCACACACATTTTTTTCACAGGTTCAATCTGATACTGGTTTGCTGCATCTAGTAAAGACTGGACATTATTGCTGTTAACTGAGATTCTGCAAAACAGAAGGTGTAAAATTAGCATCACTGAAATGACCAAAGTTGCGGCAATTAAAAAAAGAAACTTACACAAAGTCACATAAATGGCAAAATTATTTCCCTCCTATTTACCCAAGAATCTTTCACATACAGTCTAAGGACACATGCTTCATGATCTTTCCAAACTGCTTTTGTTTGCTCTACTTCACCCAGGCAGGGCAAAGAATAACCAGTCCTGAGATCTGAAAAATAAGCCTTTAACACAGGTCCTCTGCAGTCCTATACTATACTATTGCTATGAGTTGTGTGATTAACCACTTTCACAAGAGGGGAAAAAAAACCCAAACCCAGAACCTTTTTAATGACCACTTTCAACTTCCAAACAGATATCAGCAAAATCTGTTTAAATTCTGTCAGGACTGGTCTGGCTGATTTGCCCAAAGTGCATAAGCAGAACAACCAGTTTGGCAGTGCTTCACGAGAAGTTATGGAGGCCACAGTCTAGGGCTTGGCTATGAGGGCAGGCAACCATGTGGCTGGGATGGGCTGTTGACACAGACTGTCTCTTATCACTGATGGACTGTACAAGAGGATTGCTCTCAAAAGAAAGGAGAAAGCCTCCCTAATGAGAGTTAACCCCTTTAGATGAAAGGCCTGTCATCCATAGGTCGGATTAAAGCTGATTAAGTACTGTTTACAATCCTAGCCATCTGCGAGAGCTCTGTTTTGGTGGGGGGAGGGGTTGAAAGAGAAAAAACCCCACAAAAACCCCCAAATATATGGACAAGCTGATATAGGGGGAAAACACTTTCACAGAGGAGTTATCCACCCTGCCTGTTTTGAGATGAAGGTATAACTTCCTGGAAATGGTTCTGTGCCACAGCCACTATGGCCGCAAAGAGAGACCCTGCTGACATCAATAAGGACCTGAATTACAGAACCATGGGAAACATCATTTGACTCCAACACTGAAGTCAAAAGCTTGAAGTGCTTTGAATTGCTTTCTGGAGACAAACAGCATTTCCTTTAGTCTGTAGGGCTTCCTACTTGTTAAAGAAAAAGGAAGAGTGAAGAAGGATAGGCGGTCTAGTCACATCAGGCTTTAAACAAAGGAAAGAATTTCAATGGTAACAAAACTGATGAATCACAAAAGCATTATTTTAAGTTTTTATCATTTAAAATTGGCAGGCTTCCTAGAAAAGTGTGAGCTTTAAATAACAAAACTACCTTGCAGTATAGGCAAACTCCACAAGCTGTTCAATAATGTCAGGCTCTGCATCTTTTAGCTCCACTTCAAAGGATTTTGATTCAATCATATTTGCTGCAAACAGATTAAAAGACAAACTTTTAATCAAAAAGTCACTCTAGTTATTGTATGTTCTGCAAACAGTAGAAAATAAAGCAATTATACAAAGTGGTAACCTCCTAAAAACTGCTCAGAGTTGATTGATGTTTACCCAGGATTGCTAGTGCAAGTCAGGAAAGGAGGCAGTGGAACAAACAAGATAACTGGTGTGACTACATCCTTGTATTATCTAAATTATGATAAATTGTGTTAAGGAGAAAAAGTCCTAGACATTGTTGACTGCAGCCAGACTGCCATGTTAGCATTACCACTGTCAAAAGCCATTTCCACATCCCAGCTGATAACAAAGGAGACAGCTCAGAGCTCCCCACGTCCAGACACAGCACTAGGTTTGCCCACAGATGGACAATTCCATGCATTGAGTACTGGAATGAATGGTTATTTTACTTCCACTCAACTTTGATTTTACAGTAATTTTACAGTTCATGGGTAAAGCATACAAAAGTTAAGACACTACATAACTGAAGTTTTAAAGAGAGCATAAATGAAAGAATTACAGAATCACAGAATTAAGGTAATCACATTAAGGTTGGAAAACATCGCTAAGATCATCCACTCTAGCCACTAAACCACATCTCTAATCTCTGATAGCCCAATTTATATGCAGAAATGCCTGATGGCAGACAAATTCTGTAATGGGACAAAAAAAAAAATCCCAATTTTCAGGTTAAGGAAGGGAGATAAACTAATACAGTGTATAGGCCCAGTTATTAATTAAGAGAGATTATACAGGAAGTAACACTTGACTTGATCAAAAGAGTTAAAGGAAAAATGAGGGGAGGGGTGAACAGAGATGAATGGAAGGACACAAAATGAGACATCTTTACTTACACTTATCCTTCAAATTAATCACCTTCATAAGATAAACAGGCTGACAGACAAATACAACAGGATATCATCATGGACATTTAAAATTAATCAATTTTTAAAAGACTTACTAGTAAACATCAGGTTAAAAAAATGACTGGCTGAAGCAAGCACAACACGGTGTGCTGGGATCTTCCTTTCTTGAACCATAAGAATGACATCACAAAGAGTTTTCTAAATCAGAGGGAAAAAAAAAGACAAAAATCAGCATTTTTGAAAATATTTCAGCAATATTTCTTTAAAAACAGCTTATGGAAATTAGTTACTTTTTGTAACACACACAACTCAAGAGCACTATGTGATAAAAAGTTTTTCTGGAAGTCAAAGTTCAGTAACCTGGAGAACTACCAAACATCAGTTTACCCACGAATTTGTACAGCATTGTCACAAATAATATGAACTCTTATTAAAGTATCTCCTGTAGCTTTTACATCAGCCTACAATAATGTAGTTCTGCAGCATCTAGTAAGGGCTGCATTTATATTGCAATGCTTTCACCTACCAGTGGCTCTCCTTTACTCTTCTCCTGATTTTCAAAAAAATTCTCACGAACCTCATATCTGAAGACTGCCATCCTATTTCCCAACTGGAGTCAAAGTGATGAATGAGTTTAAAGCATTCAATAGAGCATTTTAAAGAAAATGTATCAAAAATACCACTTCTGTGGAAGGGTTTGACTGCTCATACCCGATGAGCAACTAGCTTCCAAACAAAACATAATTTATTTCTCATTTGTTTGCTGTTTATATGTAGGCAGCTAGTTTCTCCCCTACATGTGAACTGTCATGCTCTAGAATCAGTAGGGAAAGCAACAGAACTTATAAAAGCTGTCAGGGAGGATTGGGGTAAAAACACATAATTTTAACAGATTCTGAAATGCTATCTCTTCTAACAACATATTGAGTAAAATAAATGCAAATCATACTACAGTTAATTATAAATATCTACTAAGAAAGAAAAACTGAGCAGCACTGCTTCCTCAAAAAACAGGAAATAATTTTGGACTATTACCTTAAGTTCATGGAAATGCTTTCAAAAACATCTATGTACACCCACCCCAAGGCCAGTCCCAGAAAAGAACATTTCTGCTGTGGGAAATACAGAGTTGCTTAGAACTGCAACAGTGTTTTCCACATGGAGACAGTACTATCTAGGGCTGATAACCCACATTTACAATTCCTTTAAACATGCCTGTTTTTTTTTTTTTTTACAGGATACTCAAAGGCACATATTGGACAAAATATAAATAATACTTTCAAAAATATTATCTAAATAGAAGTTAGATGGGGATGACATACAGGTTCCTTTGTAGTTTTAAACCATTTAGGATTGAAACAAAAACAATAAGAAGAGTGCATTCTGGAAAAGTTTCAGAGGAAATCCTTTAAAAGCTGAAATTTCTAACACTTCTGGTTCAAAACAAGCATTGGAAACTAACAGTACAAGATACCATAAAATCCTATGGCCAAGCTTTGCCAAGACATGCAGCTGTTGCTTGAGCTCCACGCTGCATTTCTAAGACACTTTAAATGCCTCAGTATTTGAAACACCTCAGATGCTCTGAGGGCACTCTGAGTGCATTTGCCAACCAAAACAGACCATCATTTAACTTCTTTCCCTGGGATGTTTCTGGGTGTGATGGTTCCATTTCAACTAATGCTCTTCTGAGGATTTCTGCACTTCTTTCCAGAAGGAGCCACTGTTGTCACGGGGTCACCTCCATGATGCAACAGGTGACTGGTTAACCAAAGGACACACCCCAGCGTCAGCTTCTGCAGGGCACTTCACCTTCTAAATAACAGGTTCAGCAACACCTTGCAGCTCTATCCCAGCTTCATTCTTGGCTGACCTCCACTAAGCACCAATGTTGCAACAAATCATTTATGCACACGCTGTCCAACAGCTCTGGAAAACCCACAAAGATGTGGGTCATCAATGCTCCAGACAAACAACAAGTCCACCAAGCACATTTAGCCCCAACACCTCACCTGTACTGAGTGCAGGAATGTTCACAGTTTACTCTATACTCATGGAGGATTCCTCTTCATTCCAGCTCACACAAAAAACAGCCTCCTTAAAATGAGCTGTAAGTTCCCATTGGCCCAGATTCCTACAGGATTAAACTAATGAGTTAAATATCTGGAGCTGCATGTGCACCTAGACATTTCCATCACAGGAAATTTTAACTCATATTCAGGTTTTGTAACTACAGCAGAGCTCCTGACTTACCAAAATACATGAGGAAAGAGGTGACTGCAAATCCTCTTACAACTTTAGCACAACTAATGAGCTGAAACTAGTGTGTTTTCCTCTGGCTACTGCTGACTTCCCAAATTTTTCCTGTATAACCACACCTCCCCCTACTCCCTCAGTAACACCTGAGCTCCTCTTCCAAACAACTCCTAAAAGAAGCATGAGTTTCATGAAATCTGCAAAAATTTCTGGACCGGTCAGCACTGCATAGGATATGTAAAGCTCATCTGAGGTCAGATGAGAAGTCTGCAGGCAAAACTCAGAGCTGCCACTCCCTGGGCATAACAGATTCTGGAATCTGAATCAGAAGTACACACAAACTTCACAGCACTTAATCCTGATCCTCTCACTCCTTGTTTGAGTGGCTCATAGTGACACGAAAGCTGGCACTCCACTATACTGCAAGATGAGGCACTCACACAGAACACTGTGGTACCACACACTGGAACAGACACATGGTAAAGCACTGTGAAATTCTGTGCTGGGGACTGCACATATATCTACAGGAGGACAATATTTCCTTTATCTACTTAGAAACCATAGAGCATCTGGCATTCCCTTTTAGACAATGGCAGAGGTGTGAACTAGACATGGAGGAACCAAGTCATGAATTCAGCCACACCTCAGAACATGTTTACACTTTTAGATCAGAAAAAAAGCCTACATAAAAAACAGGCCTTAAGTCTTTACTATCTGAAGTCATTGAAAAAAAAAATTTAGTTTTTCATACATAAGAGCTTAGTTGCATGAAATGGTTTATGTAGACAACATAGCTAACTGTCTATTACTGAGAGAAGAACAGGGCTGAAGTGCTAGAGAAAAGCAGAACCAACAGCAATACTTGTGAGGTCAGGACCCAGACTGCTGACTGGTGCAGACAGCATTAAAAGCTGGACTGAGCCTCTGGCAAGACTAACACTGGAGGACGAGCAACTAAACCCTAGAAGATACAACACAAGACAGTGCCAAGTGTGAAGCCCCTGCATGGTCTGGCTTCAGAGTCAGCTTTAACTCTGGGTGCACATCACTGTTTTTAAAGTTTCAACCAATCTAGATCCTTGTCTGAGAAGGAAGATTTCTTCACATGCAAGGAGTTACATGTATCATCCTTCTGCTCTTGTACCATTAGTTCAATGTTTTTTATTAAAAAAAAAAAATTAAAATTAGTATTTATTTCAGTTTGGACAGCTCAACTGAAATGCACTTGCATGACTGCGATTTTGGTTACCACTCTTGCTCTATTGGTAAACAGAGGAGTCACCTTTAATACTCATTAAACCATAGACCATGGAAGGTGACCAGGCAAGAGCTTTACAATTTGAGGCCGGATGAAGCCACGAAACTCCTGCACTGCCACTGGCTTCCTATTGCGATGGCCAGAGGTATTCAGGACAAAAATGCCACCTGTGAAATCAAACCATGGCTCTACTCTTCCCTCTCCTCCCGGTGCAGTTTCACTGTTCACAGGGTACACAGTTAATTTGTTCAGAGAAGAGTTTCAGGTCAAAAATCCAGCATCAGCGCCTTGCCCTCGGGGCTCGGTTCGGAAATGGCTCCGTGAATGCTCTCACTGGAGACACCGGGCCATCCATCAACCACAGCCTCACTCCTGCCCGACCGCCCGCAAGGAAAAACACATCCACGGCGTCTTCTGCTCCAGCACCCACAGGGAGCCGGCGCAAAGGAACCGGAACTCGCCACTCGCCGTGCGGCTCCGGAGGCCTGAGGCACCGGCGGCGCCGGTTCCGCTGGGCTTTCCCCGCAGTCGGGCCCAGGAGACGGGAAACCCTCGGGACCCTCGGCCGGGAGCGGGACCTGCCCTCAGGGCAGCACGGACACCGCGGGCTGCCGGCCGCGGCGAGCGCCTCCCGTACCTGCTTGCGCATGGCGTTCATGACGCCCATGAAGGAGGCGAGCAGCTTCGCCTCCTCGCGGGCGGCGAGCTTCTTCTCCGTCTTCTTCTTGCTGCTCTTCTCCGACCCGGGCGCGGCCATGCTCGCCTGCGCTCACCGCCAGCGCGCCGACCCCGCCCGGGAACATGCGCCCGCCGGCTGCCGGGCGGCGAACAGCGTTGGGGGCGGGGCGGGGCGGGGCCGGAAGCGCTGACGCCATCGGCCGGCGCGCGGCCCCACGCGGGGTAAACAAAGAGCGGGGAGGGGCTCGGCAGCGACACGTGGAGGGCGCGTGCGCGGCAGCCTGAGGGGCGCGGCCCGTGGGGGCGTGGCTTTGCCGGAGGACACGCCTCCGTCTGAGGGCGTGCCCCGGGGCGGGGCCTGGGGGCGGGGCCCGGGAGCTGCGATCCCGGTCAGGGACGGGCGTGCTCGGAGTTCCCGGGTTTGGCTGTGCTGCTGGACACCCTGCCGTGCCCCGCCTGCCCAGGGATACGGGGCTGCCCTGCCTGAGCGGCGGAGGAGCTTCCTCAGCCCCGCGCCCCGAGCAATGGTTCCTGCAGCCCCCGCTGCAGGGATCTCGTCCCGCCTTGGCGGCCTGTGTCCCGGTCTCACGTGGGCTGGCTAAGGAAACAAACGTGATCCAGAAGAAAACTTCTTTGTCCTGGCAGCTGCAGCCACCCCTCTCCCAGAAATTATGCCAACATGTTTGGTGCTTTGATTCTCGTTTTTTGAATAGGATAGTGACAACCAAAGGAAGGTTTTAGCGAGAGTTTGCTGTTTGTGCATTCGTGTGATGTTCCAAATTTTAATTCCACGGATAACGAGGCGTTTAACAGCTTAATGCCATGACTTGAAGGGAGAGAGATTCCTGCAGAAATAACATGAGGCTCTTTTATTAATAAAACGAATGAGCTGCTTTGATTGTGATATCATGTCCCATATGGTAAGATTTAAAAAAATATACTTTGATATTCTGTGGTTCTGTCATCTAACAATTACTACTACATGGAAGCTGTAAGAATTTTAATGCATTTGACCTTTGCTTCGTTGAAATAAACAAAACTGACACAGCTATCACTTGACTTTCCAGATTTTATCATGTAACAGTAAAAAAAATGAGAAAACTGGGAATGTGCTTCTGGCCATTTTCAGATTTCATGGTATAAAGAGTTTACATATAGAGTTTTATTTTTAAGGTAATCATAAGATGCCTGCTCTATCTGTGGGATGCACAGAAACAGCTGTGCTGGGAGGGTAAATATCTGTGCTGGGTCCCAAGTGCACTGCCATGTTCTGGAAGATTAGTTGGCCAGGTTAAGGAGTTCAGCTTGTTGCTCCCAAGGTCAGACCCTTTCTGACACGAGCTGTGATGAGGAGAGATAAAATCAGAGGTCTGCCCCTCCTTTCCCTGGGGAGCTGCTTTTAAGCAGAGGATTTACTGCTGGTTCCTTTTCCACTGAGAAACAACACTTGGGCACTTCCAGACCTGCCAGCACTCGGTGTGGTGGCTCCCTTTGTACCGCTCTGAGCCTGAGGATTAGCGTCAGTGGATAGGAGACATCCGGGGAGCTGCTGTGACACAGGCAGGCAGCCGACCTCAGGTACATCCCCAGATCAGGCTCAAATGAGGGGCCGGCCATACCCGAACTCTGCAAGCTTCAGTGGGATTTGACACTGAGGGTAACCTGGGGTGTGGGGAACCTCTGTATTCCCTAAAGGACAGCATACCACAGAGCCAGTTTCCTTCATGAAGTTTTCACTGCTTCAGACCACAGTACAAGATGGGCAGCTTGTGAGGGAACAGCAAGGGCCGCCTGCTCCAAAAGGAATTTTGAGCTGGGAGCGCAGCATGATACCAAGGCAGGTGGGAGCAGTTGCCTTACCAGTAAGAAGCTGTGTGAGAAAGTTCTAGATTTACTTTAAATTGAAATGCTTTCAGGGTCAAATTTCATTTTATATGAGATAAGATGCTATTCACTTTTCTGACGAAAACCAGCTACTGTGTGTACATAGAACCATAGAATGGCTTGGGTTGGAAGGATCTTAAAAATCATCTAGTCCAGACATTTTCCACTAGATCAGGTTGCTCAGAGCCCCATCCAACCTGGCCTTGAGCAATGCCAGGGCTGGGGCTTGGGGCATCCACAATTTCCCTGGGACAGCTGTTCCAATGTCTCACCACGGTCACAGTAATTAATTTATTCCTAATACCTAGCCTAAGTTTCCCCTTTTTCAATTTCGCCTCCTAATTCTTTGTCTTATCCCTACAGTTCCTGATGAAGAGTGCCTCTCTGGCTTCCCAGTAAGCCCTGTTCAGGTACTGGGAGGTTGCTATGGGATCTCCATGTAAGCTTCTCTGCTCTAGGCTGAACAGTTCCAACTTTCTCAGCCTGACTTCATAGGGGAAGTGCTCTAGTCCTCTTACCAACTTTGTGGCCTCCTCTGGACTTGCTCCAACAGTTCCATGTCCATCTTACGGTGGGATACATATGCAAACATGCACTGTCATGTGTAATTAAACAAATACAAGAAGAACAAATCACGATGAAAAAACTTCCAAACATAAAGTAGAACTAGATTTGAAGACCAAGAAATCACCGTCTTTGAGAGACAGCAGAAAATACAGAGACAGTAATCTCAGGGACAGAAGTCTCTTACTCAACATTTTGAGGTAAGGACTGGAAAGAAGAGTTAGCTCCATGTGAATGCTGAGAAATTAAATTGAAATAATCCAAATGATTCGGAAGTGTGTAACACTTTTAATACATTTAATACAAATGAAAGTGTTGTAATGTACCACGTCTCTTCTAAGCACATTGGTATTCTCAATGCACTCTCCAACCACTAATAGTTTAATGGTATTTTATCCCTCGATTCACAAACGGAAGTTAAAATCAAAAATAGAAAAGGATTATCCTCTAAGGCTCATGATAGGAAAACCATTGGCCTGACACAAACAATATCATATCCATTGTGGTTTCAAAAACATATCAAATTACATTTTAAGCCTTCAACTAATTCTGCTAAACAGACTGGTGCAAGATAGATAGATATCCTGAAATGTTTTGCAAACATTGTTTAATCTAATAGTCTCTAACACATACTTGTGGTAGAGATCTGTCCATCAAGAAGCTGAAGTAATAAACATATTGTACTGAAAGGAGAAGATTAGCAAGTCCTGGCTTTGCAGTACAGATCCAGAATGACACAGGGTAACATGTTCAGCTCTTTATGGTAACCTGGGAGCGAAAGGATATTTCAGCATGCTTTTCTCTCAGCGGGGGGTGATGCATGTGCTTCTTTGGGCAGGAGGAAGGCTATTCAGTTACTTTGGCACTAATGATTTGTTATATACTGTTTATAAATAGTAACAGTTCACCTGTGCCTTGCTTTTTTTCTGATTCACAAAGTCAGACAAGATGTAGAACTTCTGAATGTGAGTATATGAGGTATCTCATAATGTCACCAAAATAAGTTCTTTCACCCATTGTGCGAGAGGCCAGCCCACACAGGGTCAATTTATTGACCATTCTGTGCAGAAAGGGGTGCTGGATGGGAAATCCCCAAAGCCAGCACTCGGACTAGGAAAACTTTTCACTATTTACACATTTTAGCAAATGAAGGAATTAGCATTCACTGGCGACAAGTTATCTCATTCTTTTATTAATTATTATTCCTTCTTTTATGGTTAAGAATTCCTCATATCTCATGCTAATTAGTCTGCATGCCAATCTTCCTTCTCTTTTAATTTTTGGGTTTCTTGGGTCAGTGGTTGCAGATCTCCCCCTCCTGAAATGACCTTTTACCCAGTCAGAGCTGATTTCAGCGCAGTTGCTGAGATGGTTTTGTTAGTTCCTTTCTTGTCTTGCAGGTTCTGCCAAATGTCCTAGTGGTCTGTAAATTCTGTATCCTTTGTGCCCATTATCCGTGGTACATCCTTCTCCCTTAGGCTTTGTTAACCTCCCCCTAGGTCTGAGATCATTAAAGCACCTCAAGCTCTAAACTTTAACAAGGCAATTCTACCTACAAGTAATTTATCTTTCTGACACGTGGACATCAATTATGTCACAATGATATGGACTTTGTATGGAATCTGCAGGCACAATACGAATTCATCTGTCATTGTTGCAGTTTTGTGTCTTTTCCCCTGAGCCTGTGGCTAGTCACCCATCTCCACATGCCTTTTCTTCATTCAGATGAAGCAGCACAGCTTGCAAGGCCTCTCCTTTCCTTTCCCATTGTCTTGCCTGTAGTGCCTCTGCCTTTTGTGGGCAATGTGTATGTGTTTGAGAAGATGGGGAAAATGAGGAAAATTGTGGGTCCTAGTAGGAATGTGAGCGAGAAGGGGAGGGTAGCGCTGCATAGAGAGATCTCATACCAACTCGCAGTGCCACTTTTGCCCTGAAAGGAAAGCTGCCAAGAGAACCGTGCCCTCTTCTCACAGAGATCAGGAGGACTCCCTCTTGCCATGCCAAGTCACCTCGCTTAAGAAAGCATAGTGATGCTCTCTGAGACATTTCATTCTAATATGACACTTAGCAGTGCTATGATCTTATTTCTGGCAGTAGCACAGTGACAGACTCAAATGCTTCAGTCAGCTTTTGTGACAGGCTGGGTGTCCTCTGCTCACCTGGCGTGGGTGACTGACAGGAACAAGCAGTGCTGCTGTCACGAGCAGAGCCAGCAGCCCAGGTGAAGCAGGGAAGTCAAGCAGAAACCTGTGACTTGGGATGGGTGACAGGCTTCATTCAGTGCATGAAGAGGAGCTGGCATATGTGGCATGAAAGAAAGATTGCCCAGGTGAGGCCCGAATTCTGCATTTAGCAGACACTGCTTTTAAAACCAGTTCTCTTGAGTTTGTCATTGATTTGTATTCAGTGGATTAGAGAAATACAAACTAACTTGTCACA